AGGCGAGATTTCGGTTTAAGTCTCGATGCGCACAGTCGTGTCGCGTGTACAACAAAATGACGATAAACGTGGGCGTGTGCCGTGCACGGCTGAAAGACATATTATTATTGCTGTCGCACGGCATCTCCTCTGCACAACAATATGTTGATATTAATAAACGCATCCACCCAATGCCGTCTACACACACGTGCGTATTTAAAAAATCTACACATGTTCAATACGCGCTGGTATATACATAATACGGATAACTGCGAGTTGTGACACTCTCACTCGGTTCGCGTCTTCGCGACACTTTCACCCTTTTTGTTGTTAGTGTACATTATATTATATTATATTATACACAAACACACTTACACATGAGAGTGTGTTATCTATTATACGCACAAATGAAATAGGTACCTGTATATAGGCAGTACACCTATAATAAAGTACCTGTGCCTATCTTATGTATACATTGCGATAATAATGGGTCGTTGAGCGGCGAGTCATTGCGGAGATGTAATCCTTACGCGACCGCCGAAGGATATACAAATATCTAAGTCTTAAATAGAATGAGGAGAAGAAGAAGAAGAAGAAAATATAATAAACGGAGAGAATGAAAAGAAAAAAAGCAATTTACCAACTGTTAGTTCAGCGCGTATCGTCTATATATATAATACTTTAATACACGCGCTTGTTGTGAAATTCGATACTTGGTTCATTGTGCCCATTTAATTGAATTTGTCCGGATCGAAATTAAATATAAAACTTGCGCACTCGCACATCCGCGATACACGAGCATGGACGTGACAATAGCGACTTTTCCACGAATACACACAGATCGAGCTGATAACGACGCGGCGCCGGCACATTATCTATTGTCACGAGGACACTACAAATAATGTTTAAGTATAAATCCTGGACATCCGTAGTAAACCCGGTCGATTACAAATAGTTATCAAAATATAAATGAGTAAAATTCGTTGTATTATTTGGTCCGTGGCACTTTCCACTTTCCGTTTCTATTATTTTCTTCTAGATCGATCCCTATGATATGCGCGCGCGCGCTAGTGTGCCTGTGTGAATACACACGAAATTTATCAGTCTTACACAGGTCTTACCCATACCTATTTACAATATAACGATAACGTCCATTATCCTACATTATACTGCAGCAGTCGTGTCTTTATTATAATGTGTAGCAATATTATAATGGTGTACAGTGTTCTCAGAGCAACGCGGAGAAACTCCGCGATATCAGTGTACCTACACAGTACACAATACTATATTATGGAGACAAAAATCGGAACTGAAAGCGTGAACCTATTAGATTATAACGGAAGTGAAGTGAGCTTTATATAGTAGAGGACAACGCAAGCCGAGTGCAAGAGAGGGGTTCATACATATCAATTAAAATGTATGTAAAGTACCTTTTACCTTTATGCACAATATAATATAACGACTATTAATTATCTATGATCACGTATAAATCCAAAATTGTTTTCAGCTGATTAAAAAGATCTTACTTGTAAGTACGTATTCAACAAATAACAAATTACCAATATAAAGACAATATAGTATGTATGTGATTAAATTAAACAATAATTGTGAGAATTAAATACCCAATTTTTTTTCAAAGATACTAATTATTAAAAAATTGCTTGTGACTAATGAATGACACAGATGATTTTTGATAAATTGATATGTGCTTTATCATAGTTGTATTTCAGAAGACGACGAAGATTAATCTCACAGACTAAAGTTATCCAAAGTTGGTTATTTTTTAAATTCGCCATCAGAATAGATTCCATTTTATTTTTTATACATGTTTAGATTTGTTGAGAAAAATTCTTTGGTTATACTTATAGTTAAAAAATAAACACTTCTAAAGAAAAAAATAATTCATTCGAAATTAACTTACAAATACATATGTCTCCCTTAGTAAAGTATTTGACTATATTTAATCTTATAAATATTATAAATATATTATTTATACCTAATTCAGTTATTATGTCAATATACCCTAAAATTGTCTCCGATTGCGATAACTATTAAGACGATAGTTTAACGCCTACTATTTTGCAGCTTACATACTTATAAAACGATATAAGTACATTTGAAAATTAATAAGACTAAACTGAGTGTGAAAAAACCACGTCTTGAAAGTCTGACACTCTTACGCCGCGTGTACACGCAAATACAATATAACATACGAACGACATACGCGTCATGACCGCGGTAACCCGATAGTTTTCGTTGTTTAGACGAGAACGGAACACGTCTCGAACACGCGACGACTATCACTTTCTAGTTTTGACATTGAGCCTAACCCTCGCGCGCACGTCATTCGGTGCTTTCGTTTAGCCACGGTACTCTGCTACTAATGAGGACCCACGCGTCCATCGATGGCTGCTATTTCGCGTACCTATTTATAATATATAATTAATATTGTTATTATGTTGTGTTGAGATAATATATGAGTATATGACTCATGTACATCGCCGTCGTCCATACATACATTTTACCTATAGTGAGCTGTCGTTTCGTTACCGAATAGTAGACGAGATCGATATGCAGATAGACAGCTGGTACTTTAAAGAACCAGGGATACGTAATTGACATTCCGCAACGTCATCATACGCGGGGGGAGATAACATGTTTTTATTCGATTATGATTTTCTTTTTTCCATTTAATTTTTCCTTATGAAATCTTATAGTTACCTACTCAAACTTCTATTTTCTTTAATCAACCTCAACGTCTCGGTTATTACTTCATCTCCGCGATCCATAAGATTTATTTTTAAGATTTCATGCGCCATTTATAAGTCTTACTACTTCTGTTTCTATCAGGTTCTTTCAAAAACCTGCTGTTGTAATTATTTGCAGATTGAAATCTCCCTTTATAGTCACCGTTGTCGCTATCTTCTTAAGGGAGATTTTTATTTCGTTTAGTAACTTAAGCTTATCTCAATGACAATTTTTATCTTGTCATTACGTCTGGTCACCCATTCAAGTCTTTTTGAGATAACATATTTTTAGATATTTGATCCATTGAAGATTCTCTCGATATCTATTTTTGTTCTTCTTTCGTACTGCCATTTCTATCCACGTTGAAATCTACATATACATTATACCATATAATACTAAGTAGCATCATTTATGACCACGACAAGTTTTCAAGCCTCCAAGGGCTTTGGGAGCATAATATTCATCGTATGAGATATAAATACAATTTATTGGCTTTTTATAATGTTCGCATAATGCGAGATAGGTACTCATGTAAGGGCAATACTCGAGTTTAAAAAACACACAAACTCGTACACACGTATATAAGCGCGCTCGTTAATTAGTTTTTACGCGTATACAATGCGACGATAATGATGTGCGATGGAAAACGCATACCAGTATATTGTATATTTACGATTTTATTATGCTAACGAACCGGAACAACTTTCTTGTACGGTTTATTATGTTATTATTGTTATCTGCGATGGCGGCGATTTTACTGCTGATCGATCGGTTTTCAACGCGACAAATATTATATGATCATTGTCGCAGTGATGTTATCATATCCTGGTTTTGATGAAGAGACTACCAGAGTATAGTGTTTGTCGTGCTGATAGATTGATGACAATACGGCGCGAGCGCGTAAAAGTGGATGTGCTATACACACATTGTGACAAGAGCCTAAATAATATACTGCACAATGCGAGCGCATCATAATAATATCGAAATTACTTGACATCTTTTAATCACAAACAACCCAATTTGAACGAAAGTATATTATTATTATATGCAAACAACACAGAGACATAGTAATTTAATATTTTTTTTTTCTTTCAGTCTGACGCGCAAATTATAAAGATGTTTTTAAATTAAAACAAAACGTTATTATTGTTATTATTAATACATGCTTCGTGGCCTCAAAAACTAAGTCATTATTGTTGTGTTTAGATCGAGAAGAATAGTATAACAACGATCAAATAATGATTAATGTGTGTTAATTCATCATTGTTTTTAATATATAAAGACACCGTTAAATTATTATTACAGTCTAAGAAATTGTTTTAATAATATTTATTATTTGTTGCGACAATTTTTATTTATTTTTATACCGGCAACATCATCATAGTTATTACAATAATAATGTAAGTCACTTATATAACTAATCAAATTCCAAATTGATGATTAGGGCCAAGGGGAGAAATAAAATAATTTTTTTCCTTGACCTAAATTACTGATCAACGAATTCGGGTGCAATCAAATCGAATATTTGTAGAAGCAATCGACCGACGTATAAAAGAAAATTGAAAACATCAACTATAGTAATAATATTTTTATTAGATTATATTTGGATTACTAAAAAGCACACCAATAACACACAAACGCGCCTGATAAAAACGATATAGGCCAGCAGTAATGCGTGTACGCCCAACAAAATTAGTGAATTCGTACAAAATGGCGTTCCCTTAACGCCGTAGCCATAAATGCTAGAATATATATATTTATTTTAATCCGTTCGTCTATACAAGAAACATGATTTGACAATTTTACGAACAACCAGATCAAAAAAGAAATAACCTTAAACGAAATCCATAAACAGATGTTTTTGGTCTTATAGATATTCGATATCCAGCCATAGGTAATACTTGATCGGTAAATAAAAACGGTAAAAAACAAGTACCTATAATAAATAAATCTATAATCCTATTATTTGTTTTATACTATAAATAAGTATATAATTATGGTAAAAACAATTCTAGCTTATATGCATTTAAATTTACGAGAAATTTTCTATCACCAGTCTCACCACCACATACTCTCTTAATATAAATTACAACATTGGCTTATGCAAAAATGATAAGTACAATATTTTTCATTCATAAATCGAGACACAAGTTATAACTCATAAAACAGTCGTTCAAGATATCAAGCATATCAAGCAATAAGCTTAAAATAATCATTTAATAATTTATCTGCAGATAAATATTTATTTAAATTAATATTAGAAATGTACTCACTGTTGGTAGAGAGTTGGTGGACAGCTGGGTTCGAGAGATGGAGGAAATACACCCGATGATTTGAGAGGCCCGACGATTGCGACATTCTTAGCGGCAGACGGAGACCTGGCAGTGGTCGCCGTAGCTTTTTTGTCCACATCCCTGGCAATTTTCAGCGGTGTACAGATCTGATGTTTTACCACGTTGCTTTGGACCGTGGTAATGGTAGCGCTGAATGCAGGTGGTTTGACAGTGGACATAACCACCTGTTGTTTGGGTGCCGAGGAACCACCGGCACCCTGGAACACAGATTTCCGGGCCGAGAACTCAGACTTACAGTAATCCTTATTGGGTATGGTGAGTTTATTACGACGGACGCTCGACGAACGACCAAATTCCTTAACACTGTTGTGCGTAAACTGTAGTGGTTTATCTTCCGTTGTCGTTGTGCTCGTTAATAATGGCGTCGGAGGCGGGGGCAGCAGGGGTGGCTGTAGTAGTTCAATGGCAAATGATTTGACCGGTGTCTGCGGCACTGCTTTGTGGCTATCGTATATGTAAGACAGCGATTTTGATTTTTCGCTCATAGCGTTGTGCTGATGCTGATACTGGTGGCCGTTCAGATGATGATTGTTGTTGGGAGACAATCCGACAGATAACCCGCCGCAGCTGGCATTAAAGTCTCTGTTAAGAAGCACGTCTTCAACGGCGCTAAAACTGCTTTCCAGTCTCTTTTCTTTGCCGTTGCGTAGGAACTTGTCGTTCCTCAGGGACTCGGGCTTCGGCCAGATGGCTTCCGGTGGCGGTGGTGGCAACGGTTCATCCGACACAAACATTTGCTCGTCATCGTCAACCACCGGCGGCGGTGGCGGCAGATCAGGACTTGGCTCGCGCTTCGCTTGGGGCGTCTGCTGTCGAGCGACCTGTTTCTTCTTAGGTGGCAATTCGGGAACCCAATCATCAATAGATATCGATGGTCCAAGTACCATAGGCCCAAGAATCGCTGTCGACAGCGAACCGCAGCTAGAACTTAACAGTGTTTAAAAACAAGCGATTAGTACTAAATATTATATACGGATTTAACACATATTTGATTTATTTTGTTTGTTTTTTAGTAATGTAATAATTTTTCAAATAAACTGGATTTAGAATAAATATTTATTTATTTAAATGAATAGCAAATGCTAAATACGATGATGATTTATTACTTTTATTAGCTAAACCAGTTATGGTTATGTACTTAAATTTAAAAATTTGGCAAATAACCAGGTATATTCTATAGGTGTAAGCAATTAAATATGATAATAAATTATCGAATTAATATTTAATTTGAAAATGGTTAACATTAAAAATATATTAAATTAATAAATTGTCAAATAATATACTTATTAAACCCTAATTTATAAGCCAAATATTGATACTTTAATTTATTATAAGCTGATTAATATTTTTACCGATTAAAATGTAAAAGAAGTAAGTTAAGTAAATAGTTAAAAAGTATTGTAATTCAATTCACCTAATAATATAGACATCAGGTATGAAACAATATAATTTACTAATTTATTATGTTTTTATTTTTAATTAAGTTTATAATTTTAAACTTAAATTTTATAATTCACCAAACTGTAAATTAATAAAATAAAAAAATTATTTAAATTTAATATAATATTTTAGAAGTAACTATGTAGGTATAAACTATAAATGTAGAATTACATTATATATTTTTTCTATTTTTTTTTTATAGAATCATATTTATTTTATTCTATGAATTTTAAATGATAAATTAAAAACATTGATTATGAAATAAAATTAATTATAAATTATAAGAAAAGGATTTAGTCGGTTTTTTAAAACTAATGAAATAAACAAATTAAAATAATAAATAATAAATAATAGGTAACAATACGTTATAAATTAGATAATAATTTTAAAATAATAATGTATTTAATTATAAAAAAGTTTTTAAACAGTAAAGTTTTGAAATAATTTATTTTGTTCCAATTTTTTATAATTATTTATAAATATATATATTTTATTGAAAAGAAATGTTTTTAAGGAGTTTAGTATAGGCAACTTATATTAAAGTTCAAGAATATTACAATTTAAGGGGCAAATCGTATTTTTAAAAAGCCATGTTTTCAAAGGTATCAGTTAAATGTATATTTTTTAACTGCAACAACATTAGTTATATTGGAATCATTTTTAACCATTTTGTTTTCGTGTTTAAACGTACAAGAATCATGTTGATATAAATTTTACGAAAAATATATATAAAATATTAATTTGATATTTGTTACTCTCAGTGTAATTATGTACCTCCTGAGCGGATTGTTTTTACTGAGTTCCTTGGAGTTGGTGTTGTTCACTTCTTCGACTGAACTGTCATCTTTTGAACAATCCTGAGAACATGAAGTAAAACGAAACAAATTATTATAATAAAAAATATAATGCATTACCGATGAAAACAAAAAAAAAAAACGTAGTCGCAGTCACAGTTATTTTATTTTAATCTATTTTAAGTTATACGTAGACAATAACCGATATGGTGATACCAAGAGTATATCAATAATATGTCTAGGAAATCCAAGCCCTTCTTACGATCCACAACTTGGACAGCTGTGACAAAGCTAAAGTTGTTTTCGAACTGAGTATTCATACAATTATAAAGAAAGTGATCATCAGGTAAGCACAATGGCAGGTGTAGGCTAACTTATGCACTCCCCAAACGCAATTATCCCGAGAGAATTAAGGAATTCACTAGTCCTTAATGCTTGTTGATTAAATTATTATGAATCAATCACTAAAAAAATACAAATAATACCAACATAGATTCATAGAGGTGGTTAATATTGTTATTTTGGTGTAATATTTGTGTAGGGGAAGACGTTTCTATTCGAGCAATATTTTTCTCTTGATAAGAGGGGCTAGGATTTTATTTATATGTATTTATAATAATACAATTTTTTCATTTTGGCACGAAAAATTTAAGAAATTAAGAGGAGCTCTCGTGCTATTAAGTGTTTTTTTTAATATTAATTCTTTTCCGCATTATCAAACTTAAGGTACACCACTGATCTTTTAAGTAATTTATTTTAGTGCGCACACGCATTTTAAGGAATTTACATTATTTCAATGCTAAGTTTATGCCTAAAATTCAACCGATAAATCACTTAAGAAAGTTCGAGGAAATAACTCACATCGTTCCAAGTAGCCGGAGAATCATATTCGGACGAAATGGATGAGCGTCTAGAAAGCGGAGTGGGCAACCGTGGACGACAAGGTATTGGCGGAGGCCTAGGCGGAGGTGGCGACAGCTGTGGCTCAGACCTCCAAGATGACCCGGGCTGGTGTCTTTCGTAGAAGTTCAACAAGGCCCGTTTCTGTATGGCTCTCAATGAGTGGTCCGTCACTTTGTGCTTCTTTTCCGGATCAAAATACGTGAACTTGTTGGGCGTTTGATGTTGCTGTTGCTGCTGTTGCTGCTGTTGCTGTTTTTCTAGTTCATTGATACGTTCAGCTACAGTCAGCGCTGGCGGAGATCTAAAAGAATTAAAAATGTTTAGTTAATATTCGCCTGCACATATGTAAGCATATAATAATAAATTAGGTACCAAAGGTAAATTTATTAATTATATTTAAAAAAAAACAATTAACTGGAAATTTTTCATATATATATATAGTATATACATATTATAAAGTATTTCTGATTTTAAAGCTTCTATGACAATAACAATTAATAAGAATATGAATTTTAATGTGGTTTAACAAATACAATTTTATCCTTTAACGTTTATTTAAAATTCGCAAAACAGGGCGTTTTATTATTATTATTCATTTTTGATTTAAAATTTGTAGATATTTTCGGTTAGATTTAAGCGCAGGTAAAACACAGTAAGCCCTTCTTGTGATTTCAAACCAAATCATTGACGAAAGTATTATATTAATATTTGAAGATTAAACAACCGAAGAACATTTTAACGCGTTTAATATTTTTTCAAAGTGAGATAATTAGAATAGGACGACAGCAATATGCTTATAATATTATTACAATCGTACGAGAAAAGTATAATAGTATGGAGAAAGCTTGTATTATACAACTGTGTCATATACACATATATGTAGACATATAGGAATAAAGAGCATAATACTTTATCCCAAGTCATTTAGAATAATAAGAAAAATAAGATAAATAAATTTGATAAGTCGCGATATTATGCATAAGCAGATGACGTACGAGATGTGAATGGAGAAAAAGAAAACTGAATTTTGATATATATCTAGGTATATGGCAATAATAATAAAAACGTTGAACAATAAAAATATAAGAGTATATCGTCAAACGGGGTGATAACGAATCGTTCACTAATTACTCGATGTTGTTCCGACTTGCGGCTACATAATTATTAATAATTAATTAATGACGTTAGAAATTTACGTTACAGTTATATAAATAATACAGAGATTACATACTGCGATTGTGTAATGTTTACCTACGTTATATTATTATAACGGAGACAACAATGTAATATTATTTACGAGCGATTAACTTCGAGTTAAGGATTTATATTACAATTGTGTTTGATTTCAACTCTATAGTCCTAACGCATTAAAATGCGATAATATTAAAATCATATTACTGAATCATAATGAGTAAAATGAGTTTAACAACTTTATGATATAATGGTACTAATATAACATTTTGACATTTTACTAGTTTAAAATATATAATAAGGTGTGTAGTGCAGTCGTTCGTACTTTGGTGAAGTCTTTTCGTCTACGACCATGACTGGTTGTACCGTGTACGTGCTGACCGGAAACAATTTCCGGAGATTTCTCTGGTTACCGGCCCTATGCTCCTGGGCGCTGACGCCCGACCAACCGTCAGTCACGCTCAGCACAGATTCGGAGTGGTGTCTCTGCGGCGCCGACACCTTGGCACTGTGCGCGATGAGCTGGGTGGTCCCACGGTACCCGCTACTAGATACGGTGCTCAAGTCACTGTTGGAGCCATGCCACTTGAGCGTTTCGCTTGACGAACCGGAACTGGCACTTGAATCCCTTCCCTGGGCACCAGTGACGACGGTGGGTTTCTCCGAATCTTTACTATTAACAACCACGACGGCAGATTCGCTGTCTCTCCTCAACCTGCGGAAAGTTCACCTTGAGGTTACTGACAGTCCAAAAACGGATTGTTTGTGAATTTTTATTCAATTCAATTTTATTATATACCTGTCCAGGAACGGTGTTGACGTGGAATCGGTGCTGGATACGTAGCTATGGTACCCTTCGCTCTGCGCGTACGATGTCTGGTGCTGGTGCGAAGGCACTGTTTTTTCGGTCAAACTGATCTGGGACGTGGATTTTTCCTCGTAAATCCGCGTATAGTGATCCAGCTCCTCCTTGGTCAAATGGCTGGACAACGCGCTGTCGCTACCGTCAAAACAGCTTGAATATTCGTCTGTTTCTCGCTGTGGAAATGGAATAACACAATTTACAAAAACATCCAACAACAACAATAATAATAATTTTATAAGTAAAAGGCTCGTATATGTATTTGTAAACATTAAACGGGTTACTAACGTGCGGCGAGTCGTCGTAAGCTCTAGAATACTTTTCGAGTTGTGCTTGGGTAAGCTGAGATTTTGGGTCTACCGAATCCAATGCTGTCGACGATAATGGCACACAAAAATGTTTCTCGGCGGTCTGTTGCAGTCTTTCCACGTAACCGCCGCCACCGTTTTTGGTTCTCATCGATCGCACTCGATCCAACAGTTCGGGTTTACTTTTTTCGCAACGCTCCATCACGGTCTTCAACTGCAAAAAACGGTCTATGTCAAAAGTGTTGCATAAAAAAATATTATTACGTGTCACACGTAATATATTATGTGAATACTATGAATAAGATAGGTCATGACCGTGACAATAATAATCGTCCTAAAAACACACTATTATTATAACGATTAGATGAATTTATATAAAAATGAATAATATTAATCGATAGTTAGTGATAGAGCCAAGTGGTGTTTCCCCGTCATATATATATATATATATTATATATACATATAGATATACCTACGTACGAACAATAGCTCGGGGTCAAAAACTTCGGCGGCATCTAAGTCTGACCGACAGCATATTATAATATATTGTAAGCCTTAATACTCAAACCGGTTTCGTTAAACAAACATTTATCCGCGCACCGCCACCGCCGTTGAACACACTGAAAGTGTTTCGCTCGTTATTCGCATCCGACACGCCTGGTTCTCCGCGGTGTGCGAGGCCCGGCTAGTCAACGACAAATCGATTCGCGGCGAACACACCGGACACGGTTCGTCAACACGAATAGTGCACCGAAATTCTTTGCGGGAGAAGAGCCCCGTTCAACAACGACGACCACGCTGCCGTTAATCATAATTATGTATAGATAACGAGTGTGTATGTAATGTAGAGTGACCATATTTTTATACAAAAAACAAAACTGACGATTTGGTCCAAAATATGATATTTAAAGAAGGGACAATCTCATTTTAAATAGGACGTTTGGTGACCTTAATTTTGTATAATTTACGATTAACAATCAACAAGTTCTAACGACGTGGATTTGATGTCAAAAAATCGCGACCGGCTACTGTAGAGTATGAACAGAGTTCAGTACATATGCTACGCTTACGTGATAATATGTAAACAATTATACATCATGTCCTGGAGTTCTGTAGAATTATTCGACAACAGACAAAATTTTAACTCAGGATCTGCGTGACAAATATCAGACGTCGGACAGAAGAAAAATAGAAATTCTTCTATACTTACGATTATGAACTTTTGCAATCAGGGGCAGCAGTAGCGGAGGTGTACGCGTTGATGAAATGCGAGATCAGATTTATTTATCATATTGGTGTAGTATACAACTACCGATATGCACAATATAATGTTATACTGTGAGCCAATTTTGGGTAAATGGAAAAGTACACGAATCTGTTTGGTCATTGTACGGATATCGCATGACACACGAGGATAAACAATAAGAACATATAACGTAAAACACACTACATTAACCGGCGAGTGCACGTCACAGGTCCGGTTGAATTAACACCTATTGGCTATTACATAGAATGCAGAAATATTTATAAACACCGATATCACTGTAGCTGAATAAAGACAACTGCTGGCTGCTACAAGTCGAGTGCACCGACTTCGGCGGAATCACAAAAATGCATGGTCGCACATACCGTGTCCTTTGCCCAGCGCGCAGTTATCATCATCAATATCATTTACGCACGTATTTCCAAGAACAACATTTAATCAATAGTATAGATAGTATATACATTTTTATTGCACAAAAATCGCCGAGTATAGATACTTTTGGGATTATTCTTTTAAAAACAAACTGTCAAAACAACATAATTTGTCGTTCTCAACTTCCGCTGCAGCGGCGAACCAAATCGATATTATTTTAAACTTCCATATCGTCATCGGCACAGAGGTGTAACCCCGGGAGGTATATTATTATTATGTCTGGAATCGAAACAACGACAACACTATTTATAATAATCGACGTAACAATCGGATTCGGTTGTCGGATGGAGAGCGCGCGCGCGACAACCACAAAATCGCCAATAATATTATATTAACGGCAATAAATTGTAAAATCATAATATGATATTATTATAATAAGGCGTGTGTCGTACTGGCAGAGCGTGAAACATCAGAAGACGCGATGCAGTCAGTGACCCGTCTCGAGACGGGCGCGGCGGGCGTCGTCAAGTCCGGCATTATATTATTATACGGCCAATAATACCGCTGCGGTACATTTTATAATATATATATATATATTAATCTTAAATAAAACGGCAACTTAGCCATTAGTTATTACTTATTAGTAATAGTAAATTTATAGATATAACGTGTTTTTATATTAAATTCTGAAATTTAGATTTTTTTGAGAAATTAGATTAAATTTGTAATATGTTGATGGTTGGGTCCTAACGCATGACTAATTTATTCGGAAATGTAAAAACGATTTCGAATTTTTGACTTTCTGTGAAAATTGTAGTATAATTATTAATTAATGGCACAATCTCATTAATCTTAATACTAATTTCAATTAAATTAATAAACAATATAAATCTTTGGCAAAATTCCAAACTCGACCAGAAAAAAAACTGTGATTAACCGACTTCCATAACGTTACATTCACTGATTCACCTAACTAACACAAAGTTATTTGTTAACAAAATAAGAACCTCTTAACACCTTGTAGTAGATCCACATCCACGTCCTTCCGACGATTAAATAAACATAATGAACTCGTGTAGAAATTATTATTAATTATTCGTGAGTCATGTGCGGGTGAGATCGGTTTCGTATGTGAACACAATGATGATAATAATGATGTTATCATAATAACATCTCACCAAGTTTAATATGCATAATATATATCGTCATACATTTTCGCGGGGAAATTTTGAATTTATAACGAATTCAACGGCGACGTGGCAAGATTATCTGGCAGTTTGTATCTTTATGTTTCGTCAAATGTACTCCTTCTCTCCTGGTTTTTATTTTCTACATAATTTTCCGTATACTTTCACCGAACCATAAGTATAGGACCTCGGCGGTGTCGACGTTTTGGAACGTACACAATATAGCGTACAAGAAACTGAGATGATAAATATAATAATATATAATATGAGGTCGTCGTATATATATTTATATATTTGTATACACGATAGATCGATGGCGATAAATAATGACGAGATAATTTCCTGCATACAAGTCCTATTTTCCCATCTCTCGTTTCTACAACAGTGTAGGCGGTGGCAACATGCATATGGTAATAATAATTTATATTCTGTGGGTTAGGTAAACATTATTACTGTAAGAGACGATATTTTGTATGCGCGAGTGTTTACTTGTTGCGTGTATAGCCCGTTGGACAGTCTCTTGGGATACGGCCGGACGATGGGCGGCGGTTGTTCCTTCGGATAACTATTACTGTTGCTGATGCCGCTGCTGCCCGTCTGCTCTTCCGCCCAGGACTTCCTGACCGCGGTGACGGACATTCCATTGCTTTTGACGGTCGTCGCCGCGGCGGTGATGGCCGGACAGGAAGGAAATTTTTCGTGTCCGCAACCCGTGTCCTTGATCTATAAAAACAGTTGATTTGTATAGATATAATTTTACATGCTTTTCATAAACATATACAAACACTAGGATAATAAATAATATATAAACCGTCGTGGGTAATAGTAGCGACCCAAAAACAAAAACAAAATATCAAATTTTAATACGAAAATCGACGATACAATTTGGATTGACCTTGTCCTCGAAAATATATAATAAAATATAATGCGCGCATATTAATTTATTGTACATGAATTAACCGATCAGTCGTGTTTCGAGACAATAATCGGAGAACTCATTGTTTCTGTCGGTTGTCCGTGTGTAACAGCATACGTAGGTACTCTGCGCGATAGTTGGTATAGATATAATACAATAATGAATTACGTACGCCGTGGAGTATGTTATTTGATGAACGAAAGACGGAAAAAATTCCCTCGGATATGCGGCGGCGATTATGATTCTTACGACTACATCGACCTCAAATTCGTCCTTGAAGGAGATATTTTTTTTTATCCGAATACGACTACTATTGTATAAGCCGAACACCCACGGACAGAATTTTTTCATATTTTTTATATACGCACACGACGTGTATGCATCGATCGATATAATATAACTGGTTCGTCATCATATCGATGAAGAGCACACCGTACCTGGTTCGACAACGATTCACCGAATATTAAAATATTACGTTGATGAATAAACACACTGTCAATATATAAATATAATAAACCCCCATAGAAAATTAATAACTATTAAAAAGAATAGAAATAATATATCTGAAATATTTCTGATGTCTGAAAAACTTTATCGATTTTTTGTTTTAAAATCATTTTTAAGATAATTTGCATGTGTTGCGCACAAATTGTGTAGGTAATAATTTATTATTTAAAACGATATCGTTTGAAAAGAAAATATGTATAATTATCGACACATGTTTTAAGGATTGATTATAAGTTTTATTTTCTGCACCAATAGCATTATAAAATGTTTAATGTATAATAAAATCTCATGATTCATGATGTAAGTAATTTATATGAGATCGTATTGAAAAAGAGAATTATTCCTATAGCTATGTTTTTTCCAACCACAAACTAAAATTTTTTAAGGCGTTAATAAAAAAAATATACGTATAATTATATTAATTTTAATGATGTTTCATATAGTTCTCATTCGTTTCGGAGTGTTTTTATGTTTTAATTAAAATATACGTAGGTAGAAGTAAAGAAGACTATGCGAACATTATAAATAGATGCTATGCCATGTTGGAATTTTAAATAACTTTAAATGTAAAATGTTATAGGAAACGGAATAATATAACGTACAATAGTTAAACGTCATTAGCAAATGCGGTAAACTATTTAGCTGGTTACAAGAAACATGAGCTATTAATGAAGTAGGTTTTCGTAGAAAAATCTTTTCGAAACGCATGCATTTTGTTGAAGTATGCGACGTATACGATATTGCAGAAACCCGCCGTGAGCAAACAGATAAAAACATGAGATATGAATAATATATTTCGGTAATAAATTATCAAAAATAATAACTAATAATTTATTGTTAAAAACAAAACAATATCTATAAATTCAACATTTAGCAATGAGCATTTATCGATTTTAAAGTTTCCTAAAATAAATTATAAGTGCACTATTTTATTTCTATAGTTTTAACCATTGTGATTTTTCAATGTAGTACACAGAGATTATAGATACACATACATTAGTATTTAGTTTAATTTATTATTACATCATACTAATGCATGTAGCGAGTTATTAATTTATAATTTAACTTTCTAATTGTATATTAATTAAAATAATAATAGTTTGCTCCCCTATTAAATAATGCTTTCCAATGATTCACCAACGAACAAAAAACACAATAAAATTGTATTCCTATTATTAGTCAAATTTAAAATATGGTGTGATTATATCGGTATTGAATTTTGTAAGAATTTATTCAAAAATAAAAGTTATGAGTTAAATATAGGATGGTATAGTATAGTAAACCTATATACATAATATGTATTATTATTATGCACAAATACACTGCGAAAGAATTAAAAATTACGATATAATTTCTGTGATTTAATATTACTGTTATACAATGCACATATTGGACGAATAAAAAAAACATTTAGATTACATTTTTGTCTTGCGATATAAGCTGTTGCGAAAGTCTTATTGTATGTGTCATAGAAAATATTCACAGAAAGATGTTACAACAAACGCAACAAAAGAATGCTGAGTAAGCGCACGGATGTCAACTAGCCCAATACTATAGAAATAAATATTTATTAAAATTCTGATTTCTTATATATTTTTTTTAAATATAGGTACTTTAAGACTACATTTTGATATGTTAAGAAAATTTAAGGAATGATCTGTGGCGATACAAACTCCTATTCAAATGAGAACAATCTTTTTTTATACTGTAAATTGATGAGTATTTGATTAAAAATGTTGATGCATTAATTTTACTAACTATATTATTATAATGATAAAATTTCAATTTTTTTTCATTAATGCTATTTATTATTGTATCCACGACGCTCAACAATTCTTATACAATATTATAATTTAAATTAAAATAAGTTATAAAAAAAACTCACTACCACGGGTGGCAGTGGGGCTCTATGTCTGGGTAAGTGTCCGTCACAAGTTTCAGTCATGCGGGTCGTTACACGACCGGATTTGACGACACTTTTATTGCCGTGCGAGGAGCGGTTTTCCTTGCTGCTGGGCAGTTCTCTGATGGTGGCCACGGCGGAACAGTTGGCCTTAGCGAACAATCCATCGTTCCGTGTTCTGTGGAAATAAAAAAAAAATTAGTTCTCACAATTCAATGTATATTAATATTATAAGTACAATGCTGTAAAGAATAATTATTTAAAACAATGATAAGACAAGGTATCAAGAATTTTTTTGTAGTTGGTCCAATTGAAAAATTTATTTCCATTACATTAATTATTGTTTTATTAACAAATTACTCTGTGCAAGAGCATTACAAATTTGATAGGTATCATCACAGTTTTTTGATACGCAACCCCTGCTAAAATATCTCTTCACTTCGCCTATATCGTAGTTCTCCACTTCTCACTAACTGACATTATTATTGCTACGTAAATACAAAATGTTCTCAATGCACTGTAGATCCACAAAATAATCAAAATAAAAAAATTATTATTCTGTGACAGATTTATGAAAAAAATTTTTATCGTCATAATAAATCGTTACCTAATTTATTCTGTATATCTACTTAACTACTTCTGTCACTGAATAAAATATAATTATTCTGTGCTTCAGCTAGTTTTTCCCGCTAAAAAAATACAAAATTAACAAAAAATTTAAATTTGATAATAATATCTAATAATGACACGGGAAATTAAATCAACCAATCAGAAGTGGAAAACTACGACATAGGCCGGAGGTGAAAGAGATGCGTATACTTGCGCAAAACTAGTACAACTATGATGATACCTATCTGATTTGTCATGTGAAAGAGATAATGGGGTCTGGACCCACGGAGTACAGCTCTTTTATCGCATCACTATAATCCGAAATTATATTGTATAACATATTACTTTTATATTTATTTATTTAAGTATTATAAACCTTTTTGTGAAATGCAGTAAGTGAACAATATTAGGATTTCAGTAGCATATTAAATTAAACTTGATATTATGGCTATTTATAACAATTAACAAAAAAATAAATAAGAAAATAACAGATAAAAAATATTAGAATAAAAGTAAGTACATTTAAATATAATATATACTTAATATATTAAAACTTCGTGTGTAGAATAATGCTTATATTATTATTATTTGTAAGATTTCTATAAAAAATAAAAAAAAACCAAAAATCAGAAATCAGAAATATCTTATAGCTTAATCTATCATAGATATAACAAAATAATATTATATTAATCAGCGGTAGTCGTTGCGCTCGTATTGGCGATTCGCTACAAGTCTGTGATGGATCGATAGTCTCGTAGCAATGGTATTTTTTTAATTTAAATTATCGTAATTATCGGATTTTTTTGTTATGATGATATTTGAAACAAAAAAAAAATGTATGTACAATAAAAAATACAACAGCTGCGACAGAATAAAATTTAAATTGATTGTTATTATACGCTGGACAGCGAAAACCAACCGAGACGCGATTACACCGACTAAGTGTCCGAAACCTGGTGACGAAGTACATAACATTATATTATTATTTATTAGTAGTTAGTACAGTTATTTTGTTTACGGGAACAAATACGAATGCAATAAGTGCAATTTATTGATGAAATGGTCGACAAACCTGACAAATATAACTGAAGTACCTACACTATTACACTGAATTTATACTATACACTAAACAGCAGTATTATTCTGATCTGAAAATGAGTGGCCACGTACCGTACGTCGTAGAAAACTCATGTATATTGTCGCTATTAAGAGAAAGATAACAACCAATTTTAAAAACTCTACGAGGAAAATAAAACTATGTATACGTTGATAAATGTTTGACTCTTAAAAATTAAATTTAATCAAAATTTCAAATGATTTAGGCATATTCTACAAGTAATATAAAAAAATTGAGATTTCTCTTCAGTTAATTCAGCGGACTCAGTGGAAGGTGCAAGTAGCTCGAAATTTACAGAACATCTGCAATGTTTAAACAATATATTTAGTCCAAAAAATATAAAATATGATTATCATCGCATCATTATAATATGGGCGTAAAAATAAAGCCAAATTGATATTTATAACCATCACTGAGTATAGCGGAATGATTATTTATGTTTCTGGTCTTCTGCTTTACCACAGGTGAAGCATAAGTCGAAGCCAGAGATTCGTAGTAACATTGATTATATTAAGTAAGCTTGCTATATAACTAATGGTAATAATTAGGGAAAGAATTTTTACTAAAACATTTTTATGCAATTCCAACGTGAAAATGTCGACTATATTATTACAATATTGTAGGTGTACATTCATGCAATTTTAAACAAATTTATACAAATTTTATCTAAGTTTGTTTTTGTTATTTATTGGTTTATTTGTACTTTTTTTGTTTAATAAAAACGAGACTAAAAACTTTAATGTAAAATAATGTAGTAAAATGAACAATTTTAGTGATAATATAGTTCCAACAAGCTTATAATACTGGAAATATAATTGTTATATACATTTTTAAGTGAAATATTTGTTAATTAAACGTGGTTTATACATTAATGAATAAATATATACCTATATTTAAATATTTTAGATTAATATTAATTTTAAGTCCCCTAGAGATAATCACCATCAAACAACGAACGTCATCTGTCACTAAAATAGTGCTAAAAATAATAAAAATAATATTGGTGAGTATGTGTATACGATTTATTGTCATCACAATAATATGATTTATACGCACATCTCCTATACAACGCGTCATAAAACATGGGTAGGTAATAATATGGGTTATAACTTATAAATAATGTATAGTTCTTGTTTTAAACCTACGCTATGTAATAAAAATAACAATAATTAATAGGTAATAATCTAATGATAAATAATATAATATAATATAATATGTGCAGACTGCAGACCACGATACTGCCGCATGGGGGTGGTGCGTCGTCTGGATACAAATATCATTATTCTAGGAGCGGGGGTGAGAGGCGTACATATTATTATGGGAGTATAACTTAATATTTTAATCGACTTAACTGGGTGCCCGCACACGACAATAATTCCACGAAATAAACTTGCGTTTATTATTGTATATTATAATGATAATAAAAATATATTATATGAAAATTCATTATTGCAAACCGCAGAGTGCACGTTTGAAGTGTTTAAAACCGGTTTTATGGTATATTAAACAGCGTGCGTGCGTATGCTTGGTAATTGGTATACGTTCGGTTAAATCGTCCGAAACGCTTTGTCACTCGACAGCGTACACGCGTATTAAAAAAAACAACGTACGATTATTTCTTCTTTATCAGTTCGCGCATTACACGGCCAAGTCGTACGTGGTTCAAAAGAAATCACAACGGTGTGGACGTGTAGAATACGCATTATACACATTTGCAGCGATCTCGTTTGAACAATGTGCGTTTAAATGATCCATATAGTTTTTTTGAAAAATTTTGGCCGCGCCACCTGCAGGCTAAAATAAAAACTAAATCTATGAAGCTTTAATGCGAATTTGTGATAAAAACATAAAAACATTTATGACTATTAAGCAGTAGTCTATCATCTGTCGTACAAGTATGTTTTAAAAAAATTAAATATCAAATACGAATTGATTAGGATGACGAGTATTGAATAAAGCCGGGTTTACATCTACATTGTCTGTAGTGTTCGAAAGTTGAGCTCGGTACAACTGAAAAATTTCCGGTAGATCGTGGTTATCTTATGACTGTATGAGTGTTAGTTACAACGGCCAATCAGAATGAGGTGATAGACAAACATAGCTCTATGAACCCGGCTCAAAATGATGATCATATAGTTTACCGTAATACCTAGGTCCTTTTACTACTATATAACAACGAGTTTTCCTATGTAATATGTTACTATGCTATTTTATGAACGACGAATCGCGGGTTTGCTATCTATAGAATACAATACGTACACATTTTTTTACCTGGGTAACCCGTACACTGCATAGTATACGAGCTATATCAACAACGATTATAAGTCGTTCATGCGAATTCCGAGCTGTCCTCCCAATATGATTCGTAAGGATACATCCATACATTATATTGTATTCGGTATGCACATAACATATATAATATGTATAATATAATAATAATAATATACATATACCCACACAGTGCATATGCACGGCCGAATGATTTATGTGTCGGAGCTACCGAATTTCAGGAGGTCACGCCCACTTCTGGCCGTATATAATAATAATATGATTATTATTCCGGAATATTATATATTGGCCGGCCGTGGCGCATCGTATCGCAACACTGCTGTGGCACAGCCTCTTCCAAACGAGAGATGGAAAAAATAAAAACGAGAATAAAATTAAAACGCGAGAGACGGACTTGATCGTGCGCGCATTCCGAACATTGTCGGGGAACCGGTTGTGACCGGTGAGTTTCTTCGACGTATCATATACATATTACATACTGCTGCAATGGCGATATTGCATAATCCGGACTTCCGACGGCGTCTTCGTCTACATGGATCGGGCGCGAACTCGGAATTCGATTTTTGCAGCAGATATCAATAAGGATCAATGCTCCGCATGTCCGCATAGCAATGAAAATGGAGAACTTTAATCTGGCTTGTCGAAATGTTGTAATGGAAATCTTATAAATATTATTGAAAATGTCACTGATACGTTATAGGTAGACCAATCAATTCGTACATTTTTTATTTGACGTTTTATATTTCATTAAATTTAATGAAACGCAGTAACAGCTTAATCCGTCGGAATTTATTATTTTTCAGTTGAGTTTGATCATATTCATTGAACGGTAAATAGAAAAATACACTTTCATAGTTTTATAATATGTATTGACACGAGTATTGAGAGTATTATTATGAGAATGGGCCATTTTTTCAGTTTGTCTACAAGTTAACTTTAAACTTTTATTATTTCATAATTGGTAACTTTATATTATTATAGGAAGTACTTATTTTATTCGATCAAAAAATTATATCATAACTGCGGAAGGCCGCTGAAAGTCACCGTTTGGAAAGAGGAACTCAAAAGGGTAGACAGATATGGTCGTATTTAACGTTGTTGTATTATATATGATATCAATGGTATTATTAAAAGATGATCGCCGGGATGATGATCTGCACTCT